TTGGAGTATAAATCTAGAAACACTAGCTCTCTTCAGCCTTACTTCTGTTTCCCTGTATCTTGTTTATAAAATAGGTTTTGACAGATAGCTTTTGTATTCATATCAAATATTAAAGCTGTAAGTATGTGTTAGTTTTTGTCTTTTGCCTTCTTATTAGCTCTTCCTCCCAGTGTGTTGTAGTTCTTAGGCACTTCTTTCTCCTTTCTGTAGATAGCCTTGAGATAGCTGCCTTAATTCGTGGTGGCTTGGGCACCCAAAGTGCTTTGTGTGGCCTTTCAGTGCTGCTTCCCTCAACTGCAGCTGTGCAGACGGTGCTCACTTCAGAGCCAGCTGACTGAGGACAAAGCTCATCCATACATAGGCACTGATGAGACGTGAAGATTTGATGGCTGCGGTGCATTTCTCTTGGCATCCTCTTGCATGTGACTCAGATGTTACCGTGTGCTGCCTGTGCTCTCTGCCAGTGCTGCTCCTGCCACTACCCCTTCCTCCGGAAGCTTCTTGTCTCTTATTGTTTGCGCTCGTTTGTGGATTTCATTTCCATCTTTACGTTCCTATCTCTCAGGCAGATCTATTTCAGGTATTCCCATTTTAATGACTAAATCTATTTTAATGCTCATCAAAGGTCCTCTAGTCCCCAACATCCTTCCTGTTGGAATGCAGCTTAGCAGTGCTCTTTGTTATTTGAGTATAGCCTGGAATCACACCAACCCCTACCATAAATGTCCACATGACATACTGCTTCTCAGCATATAGGGCTTGGCCTGAGAATAATGCATATCAGTTGCTAAGAGGGTATCATTTTCCCCACATTTGTTTACATGGATCTGTTTGACATAGAAACTTGGGGGATTGTTTATTAGACTGTATCCACAGGCAAACAAATATTTGTAGTTTGATTCAATTTTTTAAAGACTGCCCAAAATGGATAATACTTTGTTATTGAGGCCTAATATGGGGTTGTGTAGGGATGTGTAGTATAGTGTAGTGTAATATATACACTGTCCCCCTTCTTTATCTATTCTGCCTTTTAAAGAATAGTCATTTATGCTTTCTATTACAGTTCAGAGAAGGTCAACAGTAAATATATAAAGCTTGTCAAAATTACTATTCAGTGTGATTCTTAGTGGATTAAACCTCATGACTAGTAGATTATGGCATTAGCTTTGCATAGTGAAAGACACATCTGCTGAGGGATTAGGGATGTAGTTTGCTGTAGACTGTATCATACACCAGGTCCTGGGCTTGGTTCCTAGCATTACAGGAAAAAGCAGGTAGTGGTTGACCTTTTAACAAATGGATTTTTCAATTAGAAGTGTGTGGGTGTGTGTTTTATGTTTTATTCTTTTTTATTTAAGTTAGAAACAAGCTTGTTTCATGTGTCAATCCCAGCTCCCTCTTCCTCCCCTAAGAAGTTGGTTTCTTTTTAAAGGACTCAAAAATGTTCACCATAGCACTTTGTTTTGAAATTGAGATCAACCACTAATACTTGTGATGAGGTCCAGTATACATTCTCAGAAAACTGAGTGAAACTTTCATGGCCAAACACACACACACCTTTATTAATAATTGACTAATAATAAACAAGAGGTGAATGTAAACGGTATTTGTATTAGTAAAGACTTTCTAACATTATAGTTGCATAATCAGCATCATTTTTTTAATGTAGCTTATAGTTGGCTACTTCACTTGCTTTCTATAAATTATTCAGACACTAAATAGGTAAAATTTCTGAATTGCCTACTTCAGTTTTGAGAAATTAACTTATTTTGTAATTTCATATGCATATCTGATAAATAACTCCTGGACTTCTTTCTAAAGGGGGAGAGCAAGGTCTCTTTTTCTTTTTTTTTTTTTTTTTTGGTTTTTACGAGACAGGGTTTCTCTGTATTGTTTTGGAGGCTGTCGGTCCAGCCCAGCCTTGAACTCACAGATCCTCCTGCCTCTGCCTCCCAAGTGCTGGGATTAAAGGCGTGCTCCACCACCTCCCAGCGCAAGGTCTCTTATGCAAAGTGAAAATCTAGACATGTTGTTTGTAGGAATATAATAGTGATTAAATAGTGTCCTTTTGCTTGATGCCTCCATTCTTACCAGGCTGTCTGTGGCTGATCTGTAGTATTATTCAGACAGTCGGTATTAATATGTCCATTGCTCAGTGGGGAAATTGAGGGAAGCTAGAGAGGCATCAAGTGTCTTAATCATAACTCACATATACCAAGCTGGCGATTCACACCCAGATGAGCCAGCTTGCTGTTGACCTTTAGTAGGTAACTTAATGGCTTGGTTTCTTCATTGGTAAGGTGGGGATATAATCATGCCAATATTGGCATGATTAAAGACATTAATATATTCACGAACTTTCTGAATAGTGCTTAGCTGGTACCTCCTCCCACACATGCACTCAGTCAATGGGAGATGTTACTTTTTTTTTTTTTTTTGGTTTTTTGAGACAGGGTTTCTCTGGCTTTGGAGGCTGTCCTGGAACTCGCTTGGTAGTCCAGGCTGGTCTCGAACTCACAGAGATCCGCCCGCCTCTGCCTCCCGAGTGCTGGGATTAAAGGCGTGCGCCACCAACGCCCGGCGGGAGATGTTACTTTTAAGTCAGTAATCATCACTAATATCTTCTCCAGTTGTTGAGAGGTGATGATATGGGCTGTAGGTTAGTTTTTAAGAGCATATCACGTGCTTTTAAAACTTGTCTTGGTTTGGCTTCCTTTGGACTTTGGTAGAGGTAACTGTTGTGAGAGTTGAGTACACTATAAGGAAGCATTGTTCCTCAAGTCCCCCTGGTCCTTTCAGTACAGCCAGACCCCCATGTTGAGCCTCTTCCTTAAGCCATACTGTCTTTTCCTTCACAAAGAGAAACCAATAATATGATATGGTATTGAGTTTCTGCCGTTAGGCTCTGAGTGCTGAGAGCACACCAGTGAATAAAGTCCCTGTGCTCCTGGAGTTTTCAGCCAGTGCCCGTAAGCTGGCTGCTGCCTTCATTTTATATGCTGTAACTGTGGATGTATATAGAATTGCTTTGCGGCATTACTCAAGATACTGCCTTTTGTTGGAAAATGTCTGATAGAACTAAATGTCTGTTGTCAAATGCTATCTTTTGTACCTTCTAATAAGCAGGTTATTTCTAGTGTTTGCCATTTATAGCTCTTAGTAATGGCCACTGTACACATTTTTTTTTTCAGCAGATGGGACAGTTTCTTTAAGATGACATTTTAAGTTGTCTAACTGGCTACAGTTAGAATCATGGTGTGCTTGCTTGTTAACAAAGTGGACATCTGGAACAGAAACTTGGAGGAATAGAAAACTATACTTGCCTTTGTTGCCTTACTCCAACTTTTAAGATGCAGGTCAAACACAAGCACAAGGGTGACTCCATTGCCTGGGCATTGCCTGCCATTAATAACACTGCTCTGGAATAGTCATTAAGACCACTGTGTTACCAGCTTTTGCTCTGAGTAGAATCACTGGAGTTTCTGTTTTCCTCACACTCTTCCCAACTTTGATATTGTCAGGCGAGTGAGAAGTGATATTTTTTTAATTTTGTTTTGTTTTTGAAGGGTATGATGGAGAGTGAGAGAGAGTCCTTTACGTAGTCAGGGTTGTCCTGGAACTCTTCTCACAGAGATTCATCTGCTCTGTTAGGATTATAGGCCTGAGCCGCCATACCTGGCTGTGCCTCACCTTGTGTATTTTGTGATTGTTTTTTTCCTTTGATTTGCAACTTTGGTGTGCCTTATAGTCACATGGAAGATTTTAGCCTTCTGAGTTTTTCCAGTGTGTATCTGTGCACACGTGCCACTGTACACAGTGGAAGTCTGTGTGGAAGAGGGATTTTGTTGACTTCTCTCTCCCCGTGCATCAGTTGATCAGCAGAAGGAAAAAGAAAGCCGTGTGTGGGGATTGATGGAAACACTATTTGTCATTTCCTTCCTTAGGAGTTTTCCATATCACTTCTCTCTGAAATACCACTTGTGTTATCTTTAGTCACCTAGTTTGAGAACTTCACCTGGACACTGTCCTTTACCCTGTTTCTCTTCAGTACTCTGTTCTACGTTAAGATTAGTTTGTGAGCAAGGATGAACCTAGGTCTTGACCCACTGGGTCTGTCTGCCTTTGTGGGTCCAGATCAGGGAGCTGCCAGCTAAGTATTGGCAAAGGGTTAGATGTGCCAAACTAGACCTTTTGAATCTCCTTTATGATTTGTACCTAGTGGCCATAGAGCATACAATAATGATACATATTATTACCATTAGCTTAATTATCATATTCAGTTATAGTTTTGTATAATAAAATTTGTCATTAAAATGCATTCCAACTTGAAAATTGAAGCTGACCCTTGTAGTTAGTAACTGGTTTTGAAGGAGGTACAATTTGAACTGTACTTTAAAGGACAGATACAGGTTGTTTTTTGTTTTTCCATTAGTGAAGAGGTGAGGCAGGGGAGTCCAGCTAAGGAGAATGACCTGCCCAAGGCACTGAAAATTTGGATCAGTGTGAGTGATTACTTTTTATTTTTACAAAGGTTTCTAGTTGTAGAAACAAAACTAAAGAGCTTGGAATCAAACTCTCAACATTCCTGAGGACTCAGCTAAGGTTCCTGAAGTAGCAGATACTTGTATGTCCTGTGAATTAATTTTTTAATTGACACACAACATAATTGAAAGGTTACATATGATGAGTATACCCTGAACTCTTGCCTAGTTGAAGTTAATAGTCATTGCTGGGCCTCCTTGGTATCAGAGAGGCAAACAAGCTCTCCTTTACCTGGTGACTTAATTCCCTCTGCTGCTTGTCTAGTTGAGCTGTACATAATCAGTCTTTCCCTTTCTTGTTAATCTCTACGTTTTCTAAGTCAGTAGGACAATGCTTATGGCTATAGCCTATGAGTTCTTACAGCTTCCTTATATCTTGTAGGTGTTTCACATAGACTGTTGGATGTGTGCTTTGTTTCAAAGACAGTTACTGACTTTCTTATTTCTCTTCCTTTGCAGACCTAGAGGATCAAGTCATAATGGGAGCATTTTTAGACAAGCCAAAGATGGAAAAGCATAATGCCCAGGGGCAGGGGAATGGGTTGCGATACGGCCTAAGCAGCATGCAAGGTTGGCGAGTTGAAATGGAGGATGCGCATACAGCTGTGATCGGTTTGCCAAGTGGACTTGAGACATGGTCATTCTTTGCTGTATATGATGGGCATGCTGGTTCTCAGGTTGCCAAATACTGCTGTGAGCATTTGTTAGATCACATCACCAATAACCAGGATTTTAAAGGCTCTGCAGGAGCACCTTCTGTGGAAAATGTAAAGAACGGGATCAGAACAGGTTTTCTGGAGATTGATGAACACATGAGAGTTATGTCAGAGAAGAAACATGGTGCAGATAGAAGTGGGTCAACAGCTGTGGGGGTCTTAATTTCCCCCCAACATACCTACTTCATTAACTGTGGAGACTCGAGAGGTTTGCTTTGTAGAAACAGGAAAGTTCATTTCTTCACACAAGACCACAAACCAAGTAACCCGCTGGAAAAAGAACGAATTCAGAATGCAGGGGGCTCTGTGATGATTCAGCGTGTAAATGGCTCTCTGGCTGTGTCAAGGGCCCTTGGGGATTTCGATTACAAATGTGTCCATGGAAAAGGTCCCACAGAGCAGCTCGTCTCACCAGAGCCGGAAGTCCATGATATTGAAAGGTCTGAAGAGGACGATCAGTTCATTATTCTTGCGTGTGATGGTATCTGGGATGTCATGGGAAACGAAGAGCTCTGTGACTTTGTGAGATCCAGACTTGAAGTCACTGATGACCTTGAGAAAGTTTGCAATGAAGTAGTCGACACCTGTTTGTATAAGGTAGCTAGACATTTTCTTTATGCCATTAATTGCTGTTCCCCTTTAATCATTGTGGAGCCTGCAGGTATCAAAAGTAGGGTTTTGGCACAATTACAAGATACTCTTTACCAGCTGTGAAAACAGAGGGACACTTAAGATGTTAACATGAGTTCTGTCTAAATGCCTGGTCTTTGGCCATGAGTATAAGCTTTTTAGTACTATAGAAGAGTATCAGAGATAAAAAGATTCTGAGCACATGAGAGAGAGGATGGGAAGGTTTCGAGTTCTGTTATCTGTAAGTTGTGGAAATGCTTGGGAATATTAGTTCAGTGAGTCTGTAGCATCAATACAACAGAGTTCGGTGAGTGTTGGGTGTGGTGTAATACAAAAGCCTTGGATGTGGAGTCAGAAGGCTTGGTGTGAGACCCTGTGGCTTGAGGTAGGCTTTCATTTCATTGTTACGTACCCTGTCTTTTGGGAGCATCAGATGGGATTCTGTATATAGATAAGCTAGCTGAGCCCCTTTATTTTACAGATAAGGAAGCTGAAGCCAGAGAAGGTTCTGCGGACTTAAGAGTCAAACAGAACTGGGATCAACCTCTCAGCTATAAAATATAGATAATATCTAATTTATGGGACTATTAAGGGTTTACATGAGTCAGTGTGGGGGTGTGTGCGCTTGCTCTAGTCTGATAATACATAGTTGGTACATGCTACTAGCTTTCCTGGAGAACTCACTTCTACAATATTATACAACCTTAGTCGCAGCATCCAGACTAGAAAATCTGGGTCTTTGGCTTAGCATCAGTGTTGTTTGTCTCTGCCATAGTGTTCCATTGTGTCAGCAATGCTTGTTGACTTACTACTATTTGAAGACAAACGTTTATATATCCACATACTCAGCTCAGTGTAAAATCTTAATTCTGCTAGAAGTAAAATCTGTGTAACATCCAGCTTGTGTGTTTTAAAGAGCAACAGAGTGATAGTGTGCTGTCATTTCTGACGGTGGGCGAGCTGAGCAACAGTGAGTGCGTGTGTTCTTTGTCCACTAGTGCACATGAGGTCAGCAGCGCTGCTAGGTTCACTACATAGTATTGGAGAATTGGGTGCTGTTGGCTCAATAAAAACTTGGTGGATTGTGAGATCCGGATTTTAATAAACTATTTAACTTTAATTTTAATAAATTATACTTTATTTTCCTGTGTTCTGTTTTAAGATGATTCAGTACTACCTTAGCATTTGCCACATTTTATAATTTTCCTCATAAGAGTCTTTGATATTAAGCTGTTTGAATTATTTATTGTTTAATTTAAGATAAAATTTTCCATATAGCTGAATTAAATACTAAAAGTAAAAAAGTGTAGGAAGGCTATCAGTTCAAGTGTTCCATTTACAGCAGTTTGAATAATTTGAATGTACTTCCTAAGTTAAGTCAATATGTTTATTATATAGGTTATATAATATATATTGTGAAAGTATAAACTTCATCTAGTTTTCCTTCTGATTGCATATTTCTGCTTCAGAAACAAATGTGTTGTAACTGAAGTGTACATTTGAAATGGACAGTAAAGATTATTAGCACTGATACATTTTGTCATGTTACGGCATGTGCAGCTGTGTAGTACATGTCAGGCAATTTACAGCAAAGTGGCCACCAGAGAATATTTTCCCAGTAATTCTCAGAGAGAATTACATAGTCTGTAATGATTTTTTTTCTCTTGGAATGCTGCTTATAATATTTACTGTATTATGTGGAGGCAACTGTCCCCCCCACACATACATGTCTATTTTTTTCTCCTTAAAAATAACATTTTTTCACAAGAAACAATGTAGTTATAATTGATATAGTTATAAAGATTCTCAAGGTTTAAAAAGTAGAAGGAAAACCAAAAAATTTTTTTGACCTTTTTTCTCCGCAGGGAAGTCGAGACAACATGAGTGTGATTTTGATCTGTTTTCCCAATGCACCTAAAGTCTCAGCGGAAGCCGTGAAGAAGGAGGCAGAGCTGGACAAGTACCTGGAATGCAGAGTAGAAGGTGGATCATTTAACAAAAAATAAGTAGCTTTATTTAAAAACAAAACCTCCAGCAGAGAGTCTAACATTTTAGGGTTTAGTTCTTTACATGCCTTTAATAGAGTATTTACTGTGTAGAAGTTAAAAGAACATTTTGTGGTAAGCATTTAGATGTGTGCCCCAGGCACCATTTCAGGTTAGAAATAACCAGTATGGCCTTACGCCTATAGTTAGGAAACTTCTGTTCTGAATGACTGAAGTGTGGCTCTACAATTCTTGCTGAACTCACTGGCATGAGTAACTTTAGGCCAGGAAAACCCAGTTTGTTCTGTGTTTTGAGTATGTTATCTTCTGTGAAAAACTATGTGCATTAACTTAAAAACTCTGGAACATTTTGTTTATTTACCTGTGTTTGGTTGTTTTAGGGGGTGGTTTTATTTGTTTTGTTTTGTTTGCTTGTTTTTGGTAACTGGAGGGTCAAATGGTTAATAACAACTGTCACATCCCACAGCTTTTTTGTTTTTGTTTTTTTGAGACAGGGTTTCTCTGTATAATTCTGGCTGTCCTGGAACTAGCTCTTGTAGACCAGGCTGGCCTGGAACTGAAGAAATGCTACTGCCTTTGCTTCCCGAGTGCTGGGATTAAAGGCGTGCACCACCCCTGCCCAGAGCATCCCACAACTTTTAAAACTTTGACAGCTCCCTCCTAAGCCATAAGCTCTTTCACTTTACAGCGCAGATCTGGCAGGAATTAACTCTCAATGGGATGAAGAAAGTGGTCTGGAACTGTAGGAGGTGGTGATGAAATTTCTGCAGGGTATTTTAGAACAAAAGAAAAGTGTTTGTACCTTTAAAAAAAAGTGATGCTTTTGAGTATTGGACGAAATGAATCTTGTTGGTGGGGTTGGTTGTGGAACTGGGGACCAAATCTAAGGTCTCTTGCACAGTAGGCAAGTGTTTCCCTTGAGCCACCCCCAGCCCTTACATGGTCTTTGAAGCTGCTCACTAAGTGTAAGCATAAGCATTGTCTCCAGAGACACTAGGTTCACTGGGTCACTCTTGTGCAAGCCCTATAAACAGATATACTTGAGTGTAAAAAGTGCATTTTGGTCTTCTGATATCATAGTTGGCATGCAAGCATTGACCTACCACACTATTGCATCCCATTATGTCTTCATTATTAAAATTAGTGTGCATCTTAATTTTATTTTCTCCCTTTTATTGCTTGATATCATTTGTAATCTGTCTATTAGAATCATGCTTGGTTTTGGTTGTTGGTGTATCTAGACACTTGAGGTTTTGTTATTACCCTCCCTCCCCTGATGGTCTGTTTGTATTGTTTGGTATTTCATTCATCGAGTGTACTAGTCAATGCATTCTCCTCACCATTTTCAAGGGTCTTGTAATTTATCACATCTTAAGTTACTTGAATATGTTATTTGTAGATAAAACAGTAAAGTTAAAAGTACTTATAATGTTACAGAATGGTTGATCTAAATTACTGACAAGTAGAAAAATATGAAACCAAAAAAAAAAAAAACTATGTATGGGGTAAGTTAATATTGGTATTTTGGCACTTTAACCTGGGTATGTGTTTTATTGATATAAAGAAATAGTAAGTACCTAAGTAGTTTTACTATGGAATGGGATCCAGTTTTGAAATGAGTTGTTCTTTTTCACTTCAGTGTCTTTTATTTTAAAGTAAGTTTTTGGTGGAATTATCAAATATTCACTACATATAATTTTATTACTATATATATTTCATATGATCAAGTGACAGTTGCCACCTGTGCAGAGTTTACATTAGTAGTCAATATTTTTGCTATGTTCAAGTGTTATACCATGCAACTAGAGGTAACATGTCATAAATTAAATGTGGTATTTTTAGATCTGATGGGATGCAACTAGAGAGAAAATCATGTTAGTTAAAGCTGCTGCTATTTAAAGGCATAGAAGGAATGTATCTGTGCATTGTAAATATGTATGTCTTAAGTGAAGAAGTACCTGGCTTCTACAACAGGCACCAAATAGCTTTTTCTTTCTTTAAATACATGCTTTGACTAAATTGCTGTGACCTAATAAGCCTCATTTTATTTGCTTTCAACATTTTTGGCTTCTGTGTCTACAACAGTGAAGGAAGGGACAGAGCTCCTCAGCCTTCCTTTCTCCTGCTGTGTTCCCCTTTCCTGAGGGGAGGGGAGGGAAAGATGGCTGCCAGTTGTGCTTGTGGTCCTTAGGCATTTAAGATGATACTCAACGTATGAGTGACTTTCCCATGCTGCTAATGGCCTGACTCCCTGAGAAGTTGCTGATATGGAAAGAACTGAGAATTCCTTAAGGAAGGTGGGGAGGATCAAAGTGTGTATGTATCTGTGTTTATGAAACAGAATTCTTGACATTTCTATTCTTTGTGAAGGCACCCACAAGTCTTTGCAGTCTAATTAAAGTGTATAGTCCAAGAACAATTACTTTTCTTCATTTTTAAATTTTTTTTTGGTTTTTCCCAGACTGGCTCTCTCGGTAGCTTTGGAGTCTGTCCTAGAACTTGCACTGTAAACCAGGCTGATCTCGAACTCCCAGAGATCCATCTGCCTCTGCCTCCTGAGTGCTGGGATTAAAGGCATGCACCACCACTGCCCTGCTAAAAGAATTTTTCTTAACATTCAGGACTTTTCTAGAAGCTGAAGGAAGCAGGGATAGATAGTGTAATTGTTCATTTTAAATGATTGTCCCACATCCAATAAAAGATTCTAATTGTCTCTAAAGCTTTTATTATTCTAAAAAGAATTTACTTTCATGTATTCACAATTAAACTATCACAACTTATATTTTAACGAAGCTGTAAGCTACATCAAATACAGTGGGTGGTTTTTGGTTTTTGTTTTTTTAGAACCTAAACCATCTTTGGTTGAATTTATCATCAGTGTTCATTTCTCCTGTATTCAGAGCGCTAACCAAATGATTGTATTGGCTTAGTAGACGCTGTGTTGTTTCGCTTTTTGATTGTGAACTTGTGTAGTATAGGTAAGCATCAAATCCCTTTATTTTTGTATAGTAGATTTTCAGCACTAGAACCATGTAGAAAATCAATATGCCAAAATGTTAAAGATTATACAATAAAGGAACTTGGCAAACCAAATCTGAGATCCTTGCTTTTTGTTAAGACTGCTTTATTTTGTTAATTTTTTTAAAAAAGGCATAATATAATAGACATAAAGCTTGGCCTTTATTTTAGAAGGATAATTTTGAAACATTTAAAGAGGTTTTATGGGAATCAATATCTGTCTTAATGTGTACCTTTAATGGTGAAGTGACATTTTGAGGCTAATAGAGAATTACATTTTTATATGTATTGTTATTTTCAGAAGAATTTGCAGAAGGAGAACTAGAATGATAATTTCTTGCTCTGGTGGCAAAGAAAACCATTTCTTATAAATATTGAGAAACAAAAATGTTGCAAGTGCTTTGGGCTGGAATTTGCACTGAGTAAATACACTGTGTCTCCAAATGACATCTTGTACTTAGTTTAGAATTGGGATAAGGGTCTTTGTTCACAGCCTTGATGGTCTCTGATAAGAATAATTCCTGCAGATCCCTTCTCTGCCTTGGGGGAACCTGAGTTGTGAAACTAACTAATCATTTTAAATGCAGCTGTACAGCTATTAAGTCTTTTTGCTCTTAATTTCCTTGTCATGAAATTTAGATCTTTTCATTTAAAGTCTTGCTTAAGTAACAAATGAAGGAGGTGGTGTGTATCTATATATCATTTAAAGATAACTTAGAGTATCTTTAAATTGATATGCAGAGTGATGTTCAAGTATATAATTAATTTGTTTGTGCTACTTAAGTCATGTTGCCACTATAAAATATAGGTTAAAATGATGAGAACTAGTATATCCTCAACAAATTGCCATTAAAGATTCTTTTTCAAGTCTTGAGCTATTTATTTATATGTGTGTAATGTATCTTACAGGGTAAAGTATAGAAAACCTGTATCCAGTGTAAGGACAGGAGTTGATCTCCTCAACAGTAGCTAGTCAGCATCTTAAAGGAAATCATTTCTGTACACCTTGATTGTGTAACACATAAAGTTAACGTGAATTTCTTTTCACATTTTTATCTTGTTTTCATTCATCGAAGTTGATATTTTTGTCTTTTCCTGCATTCCTTTGTCTTAAAATTTTGAAGATCAGTGATTATTTTTTTAGAAAATCTCAGGTGTAATAAAAGTAAATACTGTCTGTGATAACCTAAGATACCTATGTTTCAGTGTTTTAAAAATTAAGTTTTGATAACACTTACAAAACAAGTACTTCTGATTCCCAGAAATCATAAAGAAGCAGGGGGAAGGCGTCCCAGACTTAGTCCACGTGATGCGCACATTAGCGAGCGAGAACATCCCCAGCCTCCCACCCGGGGGTGAATTGGCAAGCAAGTGAGTATGCTCTGCGTGCTCTTGGCCATCTACAGACAACTGCATTTACTGCTAATGTCCTTGGCGTGTCTTCACTGTTAGGAAATGTGGCACTTGTTTGGGATCAGTATTGAACTGTCACTATTTATAATTGTACTAAGGGTTGCCCTTAGTAGAAGCTTGGGTAACTTTGATTTCCTCAAAGAATAAATGAGATAATATAGTAAGAGGTTATTTTAAATGAAATAATGTGACACTACAGAAGTGTGAGTAGCTGTAGTAATAGTGGTGGGTTTTGTTTTTGTCAGTCCTTGTATAGCATAGCTTCAAAAATTGTCTTCAGTCTGGGCAATTTTCTGCATGTCTGTATTTTCCAGTGTTTGGTTGTTTATTGTTGATTGGTGTTTGGTGACAGAAAGGATAGACTTTTTTTTTTTTTTTTTTTTTTTGCCTTTTTCCCCTTTCCTTTTGCTTCATAGAATCATACTAATTTGTGTTAGATACTAAACTTATATCTGTAGTTAATAGTATACAATTCACATGGTCTGTTGTTGTTTGGGTTTTGTTTATTTCTTTTGTTTTTTGTTTGTTTTTTGAGACAGGATTTCCCTGTGTAAACCTGGCTATCCTGGAACTCACTCTGTAGACCATGCTGGCCTCGAACTCACAGAGGATCTGTCTGCCTTTGCCTCCCTAGTTCTAGGACTAAAGGTGTGCATCACCACTGCCAGGCGTCAAGTGTTTTGTTTTTTTAAATTCAGTGGTTAGCATACAAAGGAATATTGTGACCATTCTTTAATTTTCCATAGTTTGCACATGTCAGTATCTTTACTCTTTGTGATCATTTTACCAGGGATTCTAAAAGCTCATCTTGGAACTTGTATTTTTTGAAAACTTTTCATATGACCATCTTTGATATGACTGCTCATAAAACTGCTTCCAGTCAGTTTTATAACAGACACACACACACACACACACACACACACACACACACACACACACACACACACGTTTGTGATACTGAATAACAAACTCAAAGTCTCAAGCTTGTTAGATAAGTGCTCTCTGCCATTAAGGATTAAAAAGATGGTTTTTTATTTGTTTGTTTTTGAAAACATGATCTCCTTGCATAGCCTAGGCTCTCCTGACTCAGGTAACCTTGCATGCCTCAGCTGTTCAGTGCTGGGAATAGGCCTGTACCACCACACATGGCCAGAAGGCCTCTGCCCCCAAGTCTAGTGACCTGCCTTGGATTCCCCAGAACCCAGAAGTAGAAGTAGAGAACAGAATCCTTCTAACTGTCTGTCCTCTGTCCTCCATACATATGTGCACACAGTAAATAAGTTAAAAAAAAAAAAACAAGGCGACCACTGGTTGGTTTGTTAAATAAATAAAATCAACTGTGACTTTTGCTCTGTTATCTAGGTCAGTGGAGTGTTACATTGATTTCATTTTAGAGAAACTGTACGTCTGCTGTAGCATTAGGACACAGATATCTTAAAGACAGGCTTGGTGTTGACAGTAGGAACTAGAACTAAATGTATCTGAAGTGTAAGATGATTTTTGGAGTTTTAATGAACACCGGACTGGGGTGATTAGCCTGGGTTTACTTTCCTAAAGGATTAACTTTCTGCGTTTTTTTAACATTTAGGCGGAATGTAATTGAAGCCGTTTACAATAGACTGAATCCTTACAAAAATGATGACACTGTGAGTAGTGTTTTCCTCCCTCGCTTTCCCTTTTCCTCTTCTCAATGCACACCTTTCCCTGTGGATCTGTTCTTATACACAGCCTCAGTGAGTGCTTTGAATTCTATTTGCTCTGGTCTCAGCAAATACCAGAGTCCCAGTGACTGGGGACATAATCATGGTGAGTGGCTGCCTCTCTCGCAAAAGAAAGTCTCTCTTTAAGCTTCTACAATCACCTTGAGAAGACCTGCCTTCACCATTTTTAATTAGGTTAGGGATCTCTTTCCTCAGAGTCTTAGATTATTCTGAGTTTTATTAGGAAGAGCAACAGCAGAATTCAGAATGCTCAATGCGAAGTATTTTTTTGTTTGTTTGTTTGTTTGTGGATGTCTTTGCCACCGTCCTGAGGCCAAGCCCACACTTAACACACTAGAGAGGTCCCTTTCTTTCTGCAGTGACACTCTTGTGGATGTCTGTGAACTCGGAGTCACTGCGTGCAGCTCTCAAGTACCTGTGTGCTGTATTATAAAGCTCTCTTAAACTGCTTTACTCCCACAATGCAATAAACTAAACGTAGTTAAAACAAATTAGGTAAAGCTTTTTAGTAATTTTGTTGGATTAATGATAAATTTATTCATCCTTGTAGTAAAAATCATTCAAATATTTTCCCAAAGGATTTGTTAGTTTGTCGAAATTTTTGGTGGGTGGGGCCATGCCAAAGGATTTCTTATTTTTAACTTTGAAACAGATTAAATATTAATATTTCATATATAGATTTAACATACTTTTAAAACCAACGAAGTTCTAGAAGTCAGTATATTATAAAACCTTGTCTTCCTGCATTATCCAGAAAGCGGTACATTTCAGCATCTAGCGTCTTTAGTTTAATGCCTTGTTTTGTTTGTTTTCCTCTGCGAAGGATTCTGCATCAACTGATGACATGTGGTAAAACGGATCATCTAGCCATGGATTCACCTTCGCCTCCAGGAGAGTGCAGCTCAACCTTGCCGAACCTGTTCACGTCCATCATCGACTTTAAGGAAGGGGTACGACATGGGTGAGGGACTACACCAGAGAGCTTCAGCGGTGGAACAGCTAGCCCAGAACGGATTTCTTTTTTTAATTGTAAATTTGAAACTTATGTAAACGTGATTTCAAACCGTAATTCATGTTGTAAATCAGACTCCAGCAATTTTTGTTGTATGATTTTGGTTTTTTGTAAAGTGTAATTGTCCTTGTACAAAGTGCTCATATTTAATTATGAACTGCTTTAAAATCACTATCAATGATAAAGGAAATGTTTGGCTTGTTGTGTGACACAACAGATGTAGTCATGCTGTGTTTGGACTTGGGGTTGGGATAGGGGAAGCAGCAGCCACATAGCTAGATGCTCATGTGCACATGATTATGAAGAATTCCAAAATCTACAAAGCTGAACATCCAGGGAGTTATGGAAAACTGTCTTTGTGTTCTGGCGAGGGCCTGGCTTGTTAACGCAGCCATTCCTTCTTACCTGTCTCTAGGATGTCCTCTCCTTGCAGCCCAGAGTATTGCAGGTGATACCATATATTCATGAGAGTATCAATTTTGGGCTAAAATGCCTTGATTCTTTGCACCTCTTTATGAGCCCTTACATTCAGTTACTAACTGGTAAGCAGCAGCTTCCTACACAGTAGGAGACTGCCATTTTTTTTCCTATCATGATTGGCTGGGCCTGCTGCTGTTCCTAGTAAGATATTCTGAATTCCATTTTATCAATAAAGCTTGGTTTAACAAACAAGAAATTTAATCATGTACGTGTAGTTCCTCTTACCCCGGCTTTCAAAACCCCGTGCTATTGTAAATGGACCATTCCTCCTAGGGAAAGGTGTTAGTCTCCTTAAATTGGATGATGGTGTTACACCAGGTGCAGATGGATCGAAAGATCGGAGTCTGTGTTGTCCTCACTTGTTTTTAAAATGAGTTTCTTTCAGGCTGCTTACTTCTCAGTAAGATGTGCATCGGCTTGAATTTACCTACTGTTAAAAGAATTGTCAAAGTTTGGCAGTCCTAACACTATGATAGATGTGTGTGTGTTGAATGTGTGTTTGCCTGTACCTTTTAATTGACCCACGTCTTTAGAATCTAAGAGGTTAAGATGTATTTGTGATTTGAAATATAGCATGTTGATAATATTTAGCTGTTGGCCTTTAAAAATAAATTTCAAAGCTTAAGGAATTGTAGATATAAAACACCTAATTTAATTTAGGCTTAAACCCCTGATGAAGCATGTAAGAGTAAGTTTAATAGTCTGTCACATTATAAAGACCGCTGTTGTGTACCCGTCTGTGTTTTTGTCTCTTTAGGTTGAGTGCTGTATTTATCAACATGCCCTTGACTGGGCTAGCAGTCAGGTTCCCCACTAGGAAACAATTCCAATACGTTAAATACAAAGTGACAGCTTTGTGTACAACAGTTAGTATATAATACATTCTGTTCTATTTGTTTTTTCCAAACGTGGAATTAGACATGTTTGTGTATACAGCCTTAAAGCCACTGTAACGCTAAGGGCATAGTAGGAAAGCACTGTGAGTGTCTGAAGACTTCAGTACCTACAATACCAGCGGACTTTTGATTATCCCTCTTGTGAGGTGACTAAATGTAACCTAATTGTATTTAATCTATATCTTAGTCCAGCATGAATGAAGAAAAGCTGAAATACTAATTATATTTACAAATTCATAACAGCTGCAATTACAGAACCAGTTCCAAACTTAACAATAAATGCTTAATGTCTAAATCTGTGGGAGAGTTGGAAGTATGGTGATGTTCTGAGTGGTGGCTTACAGAGATGTGCATGCGCATGTCATGAAAACCAGTACTGTTAGCACAAACTGGGTGGCTGACAGCTGAGGCTGAGATCCTGACAGGCGACCTAGGTCCTTTATTTTTAGATGTAACCTGGAAGCCTTTACTTTGGGAAAATTCAAAATCCCCGAGCTGGTTTGTGTATGGTCGCTGTTGAAATTAAAACTTACATGGTGGAAAGCTGTATGTCAAATGACAGCCGCTTAGTTAGGTAACCCTTGCTTGAGATTGTCTCAACAGAAAGGAAATTGAGATGCTCGTCTGTTGAGGTTGTTAGTTCTGAAGGATGGAGTAAGAAGTGCTGGGGTCTAAGAAGACTGAATCTGTCCACATGCTGCAGCACTATACTTAGGTATCATTTTGCATTGTAACCACAGGAAGGAGGTTATGCCTACTTCCTGGGCAAATGGCAGTGGTGGAAGCCAGCAGCTCTGTTTTGGAGGGGGGTGTTCATACCTGCATGATACACTTCATTCTTGATCTCTGTCCACTTTCCTGCTAATTAACATCTCAGGACATTTGCCTCAAAAAAAAATCTGGATGTGTTGTTTTGCTTTTACGTGGAGGGAAAGTTCTTGTGTGATAGTAACATAACATGCAGAGTATACTTTCATGTCAGTTGGAAAATTCAGTTCTGCATAGCAAGCTTTTCATAACTTACAAAGTTTTGAGTAAGCCAGCACAGGCCTTTAATCCCAACACTTGGGAGACAAAGGTGTGATCTACAGAAGGAGTTCCAGGACAGAGAGACTACACAGAGAAACCCTGTCTCAATGTATGCACCCCCCCAACATGTTTTTTGTCTCTCTTACTGTTTTAACACAGTAAGCCAGGCATGGTGGTGCACACCTCTAATGCCAGCCCTCTGGAGGCTGTGGCAGCTGGATCTCTGAATGTGGTCTCCATAGTTCCAGGACAGCTAGGGCTACACAGTGAGACCCTGTCCCATCTGATTTTCACTTTCTTGTGGAATATCCTTGGACTGATTTTAAAAAGCATTTCATGATCAAAATAAACTGTAAAAACCAAAGTGGTTACTGTCTTGACTTCAGAACTTCTCAAATAGCTTCAGTCACTGTGCATTTATTTGACTCTAGGTAGTTAACAGCTGTTCCAGCTGCTTAACTTTATACAACATAGTATTAGGAACTCGGGGTGGAAAAGCCAGGTGTGGGGGCTCCCACCTGTGGTCTTAGCACTTGGGAGGCTGAAGCAGGAGAATCATGGCTTTAAGACTAAACTGGGCTACAAATTGACACCCTATCTGGAAAAAAAATTCTTTTAAAGAAATTCTTTATAAAGAATTTTGAGTTATGTGATACAAATAATTTAAATTACAATACTGCCTACAGTGACCGTGTATTTGGGAACATTAAACCAACTAAGCTCAGCTTTTCCACAAAGTATTAAGTGTTACCAAAATACTGTTCTAGGTTAAGCCCCTGGGGACTGTAAAGAAATGAAGTAGGTTCTCAGAGAGGGAGTTCACATTTGGGCAGAATTTAGAAGCGGTGTATGTATTATAAGTGGATCATTCATATAAATGAAGAAAAATGTATTGCCCACCCCCTTTTTACCTAGTACTTTCTTCAACAAAGTAGGTTGCCACCTGGAAAAATTAGTTGATATTTCTTTATTCCCTCAAATTGTTTCCCCCCCCAAAAGTTGAAATCATTCAGTAGGAGATCATGTTCAGCATAAGAATAAATTGGACTGCTGAAGGGTATCTAACATCTATACAGAGTACGTGGTTATCTATAAGAAATGGCCTTGACTTTCCCTACTGATGACAGCAAGTGACAAGCAAGTAATGCATGTCCTAGAGTTCTCCAACCCCCCAGCTACAGGTGGTATCTAAGGTTAGGGCCTCCTGTAGATTCTCCCTTACCTAAAACTTTGGTCTTCATGTTACAGCACCGGTGTTCATGTGAAATTGTTGAACTGTCTAATGTGTGTTAGTGATTCAGAGTAGCCGCACTTACACCTGTCCTTACTGTACAAATTAAACGGGGAATTTAATGTGGATTCCCAAAAGACTGATGAATTGGTTTTGTTTCCATTTTTAATTTCTTGTTATATACTTCTAGTTCAAACTTTGCTAATTTTACAGTATAGAATTTGGTATCCGAAAAGATGTAAATATTTTAGCATGTAAATATTTCTCATGTGAGGTTTTTGTTTGGAGGGACCTTCAAGGATGTTATATACTCACATATTCTGGTGATGAGATGACCATTTTAAATTTACTAATCTTCTAATTAGATTTTCGTTCAGGCATTTGAAAATATTTAATTTTAGAAGCTTGACTTTACTTTATATCCTACAATAATGTACTGTGTGTTTTGGTTTGCAGTTGTTTTAAATTATCTATTATTTCAGTATATGCTTGAAATATTTAAGAACATGTTTTTCTAAATGTGTAATACTGTGTCACATTGGTCAGTAACTCAGAGAAACGTCATTGCTGGTAGAGTGCAGTGTGACCAATGTTGGCTTTGCTGTATTGTCAAATGAGCATCTTCCATTTAGGGTCAACTCAACACAAATCCTTGCCTTCTTTATCTAGTATTCAGCTACTGGCTTCTGCTTTCTTCCTATCCATTTAAACAGCATGGTGAAGTGTCAGAAAAACTCAGATGGCCAGGCATGTTAATGCACAGCTTTAATCCCAACACTCGGGAGGCAGAGGCAGGCGGATCCCTTGAGTTCAAGGCCAGCCTGGTCTACAGAACAAGTTCCAGCGCAGTCAGGGCTACATAGAGAAACCCTGTCCCAACTTCCGCACCTCCACTGCCACCCCCAAAAGAGAAAAGCTCAAATGGTATTCAAATTGCAGTTGTTTTTACAAGACAGGAAAGTTAAATTGGAATAACCATAAAAACTTTTTCTTCCTTATTCTAAACGAAATATCCCCCCACCTGCTTCCATTTCCCCTCCTCAATTGGTGCCAACACACACACACACACACACACACACACACCTTAAACAGAAAGGCCAACTCTGTCCTCGTGAACAAGAAAAGCCATGTATTACCTCATCAAGGCCAATTAATACTTTATTATACTGGGTTGAAAGCGAGAAAACTCAGGATGTGGAATAGTGGGGGAGGGCACTATGATTGCTTTGGAACTGGCTGTCATTGTTCCGGAGCTGAGTGTCACAGAAGTCAGCCAGAGATAACTGAGTTTGCTTTTCTGATCTACTGATCCAACACAAGCAACTGAGACAAGCTCAGTGTTCATTCACCCAAGCCCACTCCTTTGCTCTTCGTTGCTCCAGTCCCAGGTTCTACTGGCTGCCTTCTCACCAAACAGTGTTTAGGATAATTGTTCATTTTATGTGGTCCTGACTAATGAAAGACTGCTGAGTAATATTTGTGTCTGTGTGGTCCTGTCTGAAGTGAGCTAGTTTGTGTAGAGCTTGGGTAGCTGTAGAACAAAATTAGATCTTGATTGCATACATTGAATAGCACAGGTTTGTTCTTGAAGGGTTTCTTAAACTTTTGGGAATCACAACCCTTTGACTCTGAGGGACTGACTGCACCTGGGAAAATACATAATATATATATATATATCCCCAAGACTGTCTCGTTGGCCTGGTCTAAACCCTCTGTTATAACGTAAGACACCATCTTCTCCAGTAGAACCCCAAATACTCAAACAGCATAAAAAAATCTATCAGAAGGAATTGTTTATTTTACTTTGCAAAGAGTAAGGTGGCAGTGGGCACCCGGCTGGAATCTGTTATGAGGGTTTTTTGCTTTTGTTTTTGGCTTGTTTGTTTGTTTTCTGAGGTCCTTGGTTGTGGGAACCTATTTGTAAAGGCGGAAGAATGGTGATTAGGCCAGTTTGGGAGGTTGATTAAGATTTGCAACTCCTGAAACGCAGCAACAAAAAGTGAAGTGGAAATGGACTGTTTCTGGCATGTTCTGCCCCTCCAAAGTGGAGGTTAACAGTATGTTAGCAACACATTAGCTGTCAGGTTTCACTCAGGTTTGAAGATTTTCATTAAATACTAACTTAATTTCAGATTCTAAGGAATTAAGTACTTCATAAAGAATGTTTAAAATAAGGTCTGACGTAGCTGTGTAGAAGATTAATGGTATTGCTACAAAAGATAACATAATTACATTTAAAAATGGTGTTCAATTTGCTGCCAAAATTTCATGTTCAGTTCTAGCTTGACTCATTATTGTAGAAGTAGAAACAGAATTATTTTACCTAGCTAGCCCTGAACTAACACCGTAGCATATCTGCAGAAAAAATACTGTGTAGCATTGATGCCCAGCACCAAATTAGTTTTACAAATGTAATTATTGCACTTCATTTATAAGTGTTTCAAGTGGGGAGACATGTACATGTTAAAAGCATGTTGCATTATACATAAATTCAATTTTTTAAACCTATCGATGTAAGAACTGCAGGAATATTTTTCTTAAACATAATATGTAACAGAATTCTCCACTTTGCAGTTTATGTGACCCACAGTTTTAAAGAAATTCCATAAATGTATATTTTGTATTATGTACCATTTCCTGGTCCAAAGAAAATATGTGAATTTAGTTCTAATTTTAAGAATGTACTTTTGTTTTCTAGTTCTTTGAAAAACTGCATTCAGCCTGTGAATGGTTACAGATTGTATGTGAGATGGAAAGTAGAAATTTCTAGTTTGCAAAAATCGGTGCCACTGAATAAAACAGGCAATTGCATAATGTGTGTGTTTATGCTTGTTTGCTGCAAGGCGTATGTGTTGTGTTGAGGGATCTAGAACTCTGGGAGTTAATTATTGAGTGGTCCTAAGAGAATTTTTCCCTAGTGGAATTTGGTAAATAAGCTGATCAGATGATGAAATCTTAATTTGAACTAGAATTGTCCCTAATTTTAGGGAGATGATTGATAGTTAATGTTCTGAAGACTCCAGAAGTAAAGAACCCAGATGTAGTTCCTCTTGGACAAGAAGAGTGGCCTTGGAAGTGGGCTGGAGAAGGACCCTAGTAGTAGTCCTGCTGTGTGTGTGTGAGGAGGCTGTGGAAGGGCGGCGCTTACTGAGCTCCTAATGATTGGCTATAGCGGGTGTCTCATGTTCAGCCATGTCTCAAATTTAAGACTGGCCTTCACTTCCACAATTAGAAGTTTGAAAACTGAGTATGTGATTACATGGGAGTTGTATAAGTTGCAAGCTACTTGTATTCAATGCTTGCTAAAATGTAGTATTTTGAAATGTTCCTTTTCTTGTTAGCCCTGAATAGCTCAGATTGAACTTGCTGTCAAAACATTAGAGAATGGAAGGTTTGCCCCAAAACCCACCACATGGCCAGATAGAAGCTTTTGCTTCACTGGTTCCCTGGAGTCAGCATGAGGTTCACATTGTGTGTTTATGTTCTAAACGCTTCTTATAAAATCGTTTTATGATAGTAGTTGTATTGCTGCCCAAACAGGATTAGCTACTCCAGCAGTGTCAATGTTGTAGTTTGTAGGCACAGGCTTTTATCTTCCAGAACAAAGGGCTCCATCTACTGCTGTCCTTACAACTGCATACAAACTGTTTTCCAGAAGTTAATTTGAGCCAGCAGGATTTCCCAAATTTGACCATTATGATCTACAAAAGAAGTTGTTTTAAACTCTTCAATATGGTACCCTTTGAAATTAGTTGTTTTCAACCAACCAGAGTGTCAGTAGCTGGTATTTCTCACTGTATTTTATTTGTGTATCCTTGGAATGGGTGAGAGGTTTTAAAGAGAAAAATACACGTATGTATCCATATAGAGGTACATACACAAGAAAATTTGTAAATACGAAGTTTGACAAAAAGTCAATGTACCGCTTATATGTCAATCTGAGACACGTTTTCCCAGCAGTGGTGAGGGAAGGAAATGGTGTCATGTTGAGAGCATTGTTCTGTCACGGACAGTGAACTGAAGATGGGAAGATAATCTTAATTTTCAATCCGCAAGATTGCTCATCAGGTAAACAGGGACTTGTATGGCCTGGCAACCTGAGTTCAATCCTTGGGATCCGTGGAAGGAGAACTAACACCACCAAGTTGTCCTCTGACCTCCATACGCATGCTGCAACATGTGCCCCCCACACACATCATGCACACAAACACAACAGTATATATTTTTAAAGGATTTGTTTTGAAATACATAATTGAGATGAGTAGAAAGTTCTGTTTAATATTTTATTAGAGTATTAGAGTTGGGGCCCAACCCAGTTTTTGAAAATTTCTATGAAGATAACTTTTGTTTAAATTCAGCATTCCTTCTGGGTGTGAAACTAATTTAGATATGCCATTTGATTGTCTTGCTAAAAATCTTTTTTAACTTATAATTTACCATTATGTTTGTCTTAGTAATGATTGGCAAGATTGTATAGAATTTAAAAATCCAAGGGCTTGCCAGTTAGTGGCTGTGTATGTGCCTGATATTACATAGCCCTTTCACGGGGATTTTCTCATTCTCAGTATATCAGTCTTTGACTGTACATTTCACTCCATGCAACAAAAGATTTTCTTTTTAAATAGCCACTGTTTATTATGCTAAGAACATAGTTATTCTCAGTTACTTAACTTTTAACTACATAGAACTGTGGAGACCTTTTTACAGTAACATTTCAAGAACATTTCTAAAATGATTACACATTTTGGTGATCAGGATGGATACAGTATAGTCCAAGCTTATAGGAAGTAATTAAAAAAAAACAAAAACGTATCATTAAGCAAAGCAAGTAGATGTCCACGTAACTGACCATCTTGAGGCACCCTAAGAGTGAAAGCGCCCTGGATACTTACTGAGTGTAGTCACACTGCTTTTGCATGTGTTACAGAAAGGAACTGGACTTGGCATACTTTTTAAGGGGTCTAAAGTCAAAATCCTAGCAGCTCCCCGTACCCCACCCCCACACACCATCCTTGTTTTATATTTTAAATATGCGCATTCCCAGACTGCACTCTGCTTTAGGACTTGCAGGAATACTTCTGAGAAGTCTGAAGTCAGTCTGCATCCCTACGTCCCTGGGGGCTCTTTGCTCTTTATTCTTCTGACTCTCGGGCGCCTCTTCTGGCACCACAAACGCTGCTGCTCTAGGAAGTGCTCATGTTCTTATTCAAAGTCAATTCCAGTCACCCTGACCTTCAGAGAGATGGGCAGGCTTGGAGACCAGATCTAGCTGGCAAGTTTCAGTCCAGGAGGAAGGAGCAGGGCTTCAAGAAGGGAACCTCTGGAGGGCAAGTCTCCATAGGTTCTAAGAATGGACTGTTAGGTCCTGAAGATTGATTCCATGCTTGGCTCTGTTGGAACTGCTCTTATTCTGATTTCCTGGGCTGATGTCAAATATTTTCATTTGCAAATCATTTGTTCAGGTATAAAAATTGGGGGTTTTCGTGGGGAAATGATTCTACTCTGCAACTTGAAGGTATTTAATGAAGTTAAATAGTGAACTTGACATTTTCCTGTTGGGTGATGAAGAAACAAAGGAAATGTGGAGAAAAGGATACAATGTTTAAGGCTGGAAGACAGTTGTTGTAAAGTTAAAAACAAGGCTACCGTTTTAAGTTGAAAATGCTACTTTTCTCATATTAAAGTGAAATTAGGCACCATAAATTATCCACATGCTTTATAGTTTAGTGATCACTATTTCTCATCACTTGGGTCATTAGTCTCATCAGCCTCCTCTGTAGTTTTACTAGCTCCTGAGGGTGGGAGGGGGGCTGGATTAGGGGAAGAAAGGGATGAGCAACCTCAGTTGTCATCTGTCACTTGTGGGTTCCATTGTGGAAGCAATTTGAAGTTTAAGAAGATTATAGATATCTCTATCGCTGCACCTCTAAAGCACTAGTCTGCTCCTAACCAATAAGAAGGAATGACCTGGAAGCTGAAAGAAAGAAATGGCTCACAGTCAACCCTCCGTTCAAACCCCTACACTGGAGCAAGGCATACATCTCTGTAGAGTGCTTGCCCAACACAACGGAAGCCTGGGCTGAGGGCACACTCATAAACCGGGAGGCAAGAGGATCAAAAGGTTAAGGTCCTCTGATACAAACCAAATCTGAAGCCACCTTGGTCACCACTGACCCTGTCCCCAAGACACCCCTGTGTTGCTCTACAAAGCCTCTAATGTCTGGTTCCTCTGGTTGTCTAGAGTCACCTCCCTTTCTCTTCTGCCTTGGTTATACCCAGAATGCACTGTCTGACTCAAACAGACATTTGCTCTTGATCTTACCCCTTCCTGGACTGTTTGTTTCATTGGCCAAAGCAGGTCACATGAGAGTTGGAGGCAGCCTGAAAGCACAAACCCTGGTCTTTACTGAGGATCTATTTTGCATTTGATTGAAGTGTTTCATTTGTGTCTGTGCAGAACAAGAGTTTGGTGTTGTGTGTGCCAACGGTACGGTCTTGTCTCCTGTTGAGCCATTTAATTTGTGGGGTTTTTGTTGTTTTTAGACAGGATTTTTTCATTATGTAAGCCTTGACTGGCCCAGAACTATGTAAATCAGGCTGACTTTGAACACACTGAGGTCCACCTGTTAGGATAAAGTGAGTGAGGGACCTTGACAGATTCCATGGTGGGCAAGGGGCATACATGCCGGGCAGACAAAGCTTCAGTGCGAAGTTTTATTAGAAAGGGAAGGGAGAGCCGGGCGTTGGTGGCACACGCCTTTAATCCCAGCACTTGGGAGGCAGAGGCAGACAGATCTCTGCGAGTTCGAGGCCAGCATGGTCTACAAGAGCTAGTTCCAGGACAGCCTCCAAAGCCACAGAGAAACCCTGTCTCAAAAAAAAAAAAAAAAAAAAAAAAGGAAGGGAGGGGAAGGAAAGAGAATAGAGGTAAAGAGACAGAGAGAGGACAGAAGAGAGAGGGGGACAGGAAAAGTCCTGTCTGCTGCAGGGGAACAGCAGGAAAGAGTGATGTGTGCTGGGGAGGTTTTTTTGTTTTGTTTGTTTTTTGTTTTGTTTGATTTTTTTTTATTTTTATTTTTTGGTTTTTCAAGACAGGTTTCTCTGTATTGTTTTGGAGCCTGTCCTGGAACTCGCTCGGTAGACCAGGCTGGCTTCAAACTCAGAGATCCACCTGCCTCTGCCTCCCGAATGCTGGGATTAAAGGCGTGTGCCACAAATGCCCAGCAGGAGGGGAGGTCTTTTAAAGAGTCCTTTGTATCTTCGTGAAGACTATGTAGCCGTGGAACCCTGGGCTGACCAGGGTACTGCCTTGAGTGCATTCTGCCAGATGATAGGGGTAGGCCAGCATAATGCCCGAATCCTTACACCACCTACATCCATCTCCCGAGTGCTGGAATTAAAGTTGTATACACCACCATAGCAGTGCTGATACAACCATGTGAAATGTTCATTGTGGTGGTTTGAATACTTATAGTCCCCATAGACTCATGTTTTTTAATGTCTGGCCCATAGGGAGTAGCAGTATTAGGGGTGTGGCCTTGTTGGAGGAAGTATATCACTGTAAGGACAGATTTTGAGGTCTCATATATGCTCAAGCTATGCCCAGTACACAGCTTTTCCTTCTGCTGCCTGTGGATCAAGATGCAGGACGCTTAGCTGCTTCTCCAGCACCATGTCTACCTGCACACTGCCATGTTCCACCATGATGATAATGGACCAAATCTCTGAAACCGCAAGCCAGCACCAATTAAATGTTTTCCTTCGTAAGAGCTGCCATAGTCATGGTGTCTTCACAGTAATCAGATCCTAAG